TGTGACATCTCCGTCGGCGAGGCAGAGAAAGCCATTGAAAGGGAAGCCAAGAACGAGTCCGAGAAAGAGACTGGGATGAACACCGACAAAGGCATTCCTGTTGAGCCATCAGAAACTATTGAAATCATCCCAGAGGAAAATGGCGAGCAGACGGAGGGAAATGTGAAGGTCCAGTCTACTATAGGAAACAAAATCATAATACAGCTCAAGCTGGAAAGTGACACTGCTCCAGACAACAAAGCTGGCAATGTCAGTGACAAAGCTGAAGAACAAGAACAACTTAACGAGAGGAAGCGAGAGAAATGTGAAGAACCCAAATCGTATGCAGCAGCAGTAAAGGAAGCCACTGACAAACCTCCCCTTCAGAAGAAAGTAGTCGATGAGACACCCAGCGAAAGTAAGGATCTCGATTCGTTGGAAGACGTTGCAGATCAAGGTGTGGCCAAAGAAAGTGCAGACAAGGTCGTAGTGAATAAGATGGATGCATGTTTAGCAAAGGTAGATGCAAGTTTAGCCTGGGTAGATGCTAGACTGACAAGAGATGGTCACAAAACTTCCACCGAAAATCTACCACAGAAAGATGTTGAAAAGGAGAAGGTTACCTATGCTGGCATCGTGAAAAGTGGGGCTAAAATAAATATTCCACAATTGATAGACAAGAAGTCAAAACAGTCCACCTCCTCTGACAAAAAGCCACAGCCACATCCGCAGAACAAAACTAAATCTGGGGATAGCCTAGTTGTCTTGAAAGTACAAGCGCACGTTCCTGAAGAACACACAAAAGAACAGGAGAACATCAAAGATACATGTGAACCTACCGAAACTTCCAGTGAACAGAAGAAAACCGAACCGTCAGTGGATGTGAAGAACACCAGTTCATCTCCTACACCTCCATCTCAACCAAAAGTAACACAAGAAGCACCCAGCAGCTCAATAACTTTTGCCAGTGAACAGAAATCTCAGACTTTGCCTCCAAAGGACACTCCAGACGCACCCAAGGATCCACAAACTAAAGGCAAAACCTCAACGACAATGGTGACGCCGACCCCACCCCAAGACACCGAACAACAGGGCGCCCAAGCAAGAGAAAATTTGCAAGAGCCAGTAAGCCAGTCCAAGGCAGAGGCATCACAAGCCACAAGACGTGTTAGACCAGCGATGAAGGAAGGCAAAGAAACAGCAGAAGAGACAACAGATATTCCTAAGACTAAAAGAGAAGAACCACCTGTTATTGAGAATGTTCCAAGGAGGCGTGAAAGGAGGACAGAAGACAATACAAGACAAAATAGTCCATCAGATAAGAAAGAACAAGATCCCAATCCACATAAAAGTCAACGGAGAAGAGAAGAGAGCAGAACAGAACATCAAGAGGAACAGCAAAAACCCAGTCCAGCAGACGTTTCACAGGGTGAACACAGACGGAGGAGAAGAGGAGAAAGTAGACAAGAAAATGAAACGCAGCAGAGGCTAAGTCCAACAAACAGTATTGTAAGTGAGGCCTCTACTAGGCCACATGAAGTGCGCAGGAGACCTGAAAGCAGAAGTGAAGACAAACCACAACAGATGCCGAGTTCAACAGATGTTAACAAAACTCAGACAACCACCGGAGTTAGACGGAGACCAGAAAGCAGAAAAGAAGAAATACCCAGTCCAACAGACATTAATCTAACAGAAGTTAGGCGTCGGTCAAGAACAGAGGTAAAGGCACATGATGAATCGTCAAAAGAGCCCTTTTTGACGAATGCTCAGGGGGGTATCACCTTTATTGACGACCTATCAACGCCACAAATGGTCAGACGACGAAGACCAGATACCGCGCCCTCAGACTCATCCAAGGAGAACAGACCTGCAGACAATGAGTCCCAAGACGCGCCTCCAAGACGGGGTAGCGGCGAAGGCAGGAGTTCCCCGGAGAGGTCCTCCCCCGAGCTCGAAAGTGCTCTCCCAGGTCTTGCTTCCAGTAAGACACTCTGGAGATGCAGCACTTATGAGACGATGAGCCTCAGTGACTACGACAACCTCGCCTTTATGATCCGCAAATCCCGCAGCGCCCCGGCGTGCCCGGATCGAAGGCGAAGGAGAAAGAAGCAAGACCTTTCGGGTAGCATCGAGTCTTTAGATCAAGCCAAAGGGCAGACTCCAGCGGCCGAGTCTCCGACTGGAGTTTCCCCTCAAAGTGAGTCCCCCCCGACCGACGAGTCTCACAGGAAACAGGGCGAGAGATCCCCTGGCTCCCCACCCAGAGCGAACACTGAAACAACCACAACAAAGACAAAGACAACACCCACACCCACAGTCACCACCCCCCAACCCCCAACGCCTACACGAGACGACTCCCAGAGGAGGCCGTCGAGCCGCACACAGCCAACCATGCATGAGTCTCCTCCTTGCAAAGCCGAAGTACCTGAAGTCCCTTCACCGAGACAGTCGCCAGAGCCCTCCAAGGTAGTAAGGACTCGTAGTGTCACTAACAGTAGCCGAAGGAGCCGTGACCGGGACT